AAATCTATTAAAACCTATCAACTTACAGTATTTTAACTGTATTTTATTTGCATTAAAAATAAAGATTTTTGTCAAATAGATTTAGTTGTTTTAAATAATCATGGATTCCTTAAGTCTCTGTTGAGTGTTAAGCTGAAGGTGACAGTAAACAGACTAAAAACGATTGAGTCATGAACATGGCACGGTGTTCTTCTAAGAATGGGAGTCAAGACAGAAGAAAGAGGAACACTAGTCAGTTTATTTATTTACTGACCTTTTATTATTTACAGTAATCAGTCGCCTATTAAATGAAAAAACGATTCCATGAACCAGTATTCTTCAGCTCCATCATCAGTTTTGTTCTGATTCCTCGTCTGAAGTTTAATAAAAAAGGGGGGAAAAGTGTCAAGGTCTTTGGCATCAACATTAACAGCTTAAACGTCAGAAGACAACGCAGTACTCATCTCTGCAAGGCCTGGCTTCCACAGAGACCCTTCATCTGATTAAAAGACTAAATTTATAACTTTGGCCTGGATAGAGAAAGGGAAACAATTTTATCCTGTTGCTTTTCTGGGTGGGTTAAATGGCACAAAAATCTGATTGTGTTTCTTAAAAATAACCTTGTGCTGGAGGCATGTGAGTTACAGCTGAGGGGTTTGACATAGTTTGGCAGTTGAATTCCTTCTTTGTTTTTCTATGTGCGAATAGTTAAGCTCACTATTATCACCACACCCTACCAGTACACCCAGCACTTTGAAAATTACTGCTAAATTAATAATTGGAGATCTATTTTAATCCTGCTACCCCTCTGTAGCGGACATGTTATCTGACAGGATTGACTCTGCTATGAACCTTAAGGGCAGATTAGACTTCTGCATCTGCACACATCAAATGTCGCTTGGGTCTGGTCACGAAACAGTTTATCTGGTATGCTTCTGCACCATCGGTCTGGAATTTCTAAGAAAACACAGCAGTTTCCCGCCAAAGCGCAAGGGGGAGCCTATTCGAGAAATCGTGAGAACTTCGGCCGATGGTCACGAGAATTTGGGCGCTGCCAGCTGGTGTGTTTATCTTCCAAAACAACAATGGCGCGCCTGCAAGATATCACAGTCACGGAGATGGATCTAGAGTTACTAGATATCGAAGAAGAACAGGTTCTGTTAATGGAGCGAACCTCCTCGATTAACCTTTCGTCGTAGTTGTCCATAGTAAGTTGTTACACGGTTTTTAAAAATGGCGCGCCCCGGCACCGAATCGAGAAGGACGACCACACAGACAGCTGGAAAGGCATACCAAGGACCAATCACAGCTGCTTTTTGTTTGCGCTGTTAAAGGGGCTATGCCTCAGAAGCATAAATTGGCCTGTAGGATTACATGTTATCAATTGCCTCTATGCAAATAGACTGAATTGAACTGAAATGTTCATTGATTTCGCATTTGATCACATCTTTTGTTCATGGAAACGTCTGAATTATTACCCTTCTGCTTGGGAATTTTTGTTGTTTTTATACCTACTTCTGTATACAAGTGTTTTGTTTCTATTCAAAGGTTGAAAACATGAAATTATCCTTCAAATGAGCTGGTAATGGGGCTCAGTGGCGCAGAGGGTAGCACTGCTGCATTGCAGCAAGAAGGTTACAGGTTTGATTCCTGCATGGAGTTAGCATGTTCTCCCTGATAACCCAACCTGATTTAATACGGTAATAAATCACTGCATGTTGTCCGAAAACAGGGTCTAATTTCACATGTGCCGCTTCTCCTGTTAATACGGTAAAGCCCTGCGGCACCAGGCAACACGTGATCCAAATGATCCAATGAGCTGCTGTCAGTCTGGGTTGCTGCTGCTGCTACTTTTAGACACAGCAGGCAAACCTGTGGCAAGCCGGGTGAGACAAAACAGGCTGCAAAACAGAATTGCAGCCTGTTTTGCAATTCTCATGCATTATACATTAAACTTTTTGATTTTTTTTCCTCCTACCTTCTGATATGAGGTGAACCAAACTCTGTAACAGAACCTCGCACCAAGTGGCCCACCCCTAAAAATGTTCTTAGAAATTTTCAAGTGAGTAAATACTGTGTCTCTTACTTGCACTTCGCTATTACACAACTTTGTGTTGATCTGTCGTGTTAAATCCCATCTAAATAGATTGAAATGTGGTGCATTATCACAAAATGTGACAAAAAAAACAGTATAAATAGTTTTTCAGTATGAAAAATAGAGACGCAATTGTTTTAGATCTAAACAGCAAAAATAAACAACTGGGAGAGGAAATTTTTTATTTTCATTTTTGCTTGATAAACAGTAAATAGCCATTCTTACTCTGTTCAGGAGACAAGGAAATAGTCATAAAAGCTTACATCCATATTTCATACTGAATTTATAACATAATCTGCATCAACTCAACCCAGGAAACAGATTGAAGCTCACCAGCAGTTCAGCCCGATAGAGGAGGAATTCAGTAAAATGCACAGCAACATTGAATTAATTGATGCATTAACTCATGCAAGTAAATACTGCCACAATGAAACTGGAAATATACATATACAGCAGGAGGGTGTAAACTCCAACCGCTAAGAACAACAGGAATATCGTAGCATGCTGCATGGTTTTTTTCACTGTCTCACAGAGCAGCTAGGTGGGGTTCAGATAATACACGGAGGCGTCGGTTCAGGGGTCAACAACACTCCAGAGAGAATAAAAGGGAGGATAAAAACAACAAAGAAGTAACAAAACACATAGTTAAATACACCCACATGTTTCTCTCTATGTAAGAGATGTGGTTCTGTTTGTTCGCTTCACGCAGGCAGCTTTTGTCGTGCAGAGAAAAAAACCAACCGCCATAATAGTAAGAGTACAGGTAGGAGTCATGCTTTTCATAAAAAAGAAGAAAGAGAGGGATTCAAACAGGTAATAAATATACTGTACAGTAGAAAGAGCACAACAAGAGACTGCAGCCATAATAACATCTAGAACCATAACTTTATAATATAGGAGGAAAAGCATCAACAGGAGGGCGCCGCGTGTCGGGGGGACAGGATAAGGATAGTCCGGGTGTTTGGCCGCATGCAGGCCAGCTGGAGAGGAGACGCAGGCGTAAAGAGCTTCCTGGTCACAGCTGCTATTGCACTGCTGCTGTAGGTTGGGGGAGTTAGGAGTTGCCCTAACTGTCTGCAATGGTTTGCAGAGAGAGAAGCACAAGGTGGGTGTGCAGAGTGCAGGAGGACGACCCGCCCAGTCCCAAAAATCCTCAAATCCACCCCCCATCCACCTGCAAATCTCTCTCAGAGCTGAAGCCTTTTCTCGGATCGTTGACTCCATTCTGTCTCCTCTGGGTGGCTGTGGGAGAGAAAAATAGGCAATAAGTTAGAGGTAGAATTAAATATCTGTCAGGTTTCTGTTTCTGTTATGTTTTTCTATTGAGTATTCAGTCTGACTTTACTCCTTGTTTTCTCCATGTTTTTTAGTCCTAGTAATTTAATTATCATTTTGTTGTTATTTCCAGTCTTCCAGGTTTGTATTTGTTGCTCTCTGCTGCCCTCTTATGTTCTCCTTCTTCCCTAGCTCTTTCCCTCTCTTGTTCTGTGCACACCTGCTCCCAGTTTCCTCATTAGCCCTCTTTGTCTCAGTCTCCTTTAAAAGCCCTCTCTCTTCAGTTCCCCTTTGCTGGGTCCTCGTCAAACACCGTCAAACTTGCTCCAACTCCTTCTCTCTGTGCCATCCTCCTTATGACCCCTGATGTCTCCATGGTTTCTGGTACGTTTAGACTAGTTTTCATGTTTTGATTTTTGGATTTTTGGACTCCTGGTTTCATGTTTGTTTGGACTTTGTTTTCTTTTTGGATTTTTGGATAACCTGCCTCTGTTTTCTGTTAAGTCATTATTAAATCCACAAGAGCTTCACCTCTGCCTCCCTGCCTTTGCTTTTTGGTCAACTAACCATAGCCAAACCGTGACAATATCTGTGACAGGTACCATTGATGATGCTAGAAGTCTGCCAAAAGTACACATAAAAACTCACACAAACAGTTTAATTTAATAAAGTTGGGAAGGTTCTATGAATGCAGGCTTGATATATCAAAGCAGTCCATCCTCCTTTGTGCTTTTTTGTTTTTGTTATCCATCTTTGATTACCCTTTTAGTCCATCTATAGATTCTCTGCTACCCGGCTGTGGCTCTGTTTCCATGCCTCATGTCTACTTTAGTCACCAAAGTCTCTTTCCCAATGAAAATACTGAGTTAAAGCGTGTTTTTCAAATTTGGGCCGAACAATCGGCATTTGGCTCCCTGGGTCTAACTCCTCGCTGGCACCTGCATGGCCTCTGTCCCCCCACAGCTGCGTGTCTGGTGACACCATCACACTGGGTTTGCGTTGATGATGTCACTAGTGTGACAGAAATCAGGAAAGTAAACAATGGAGAGCAACATGAATCCAGGGCGTAGTCAGTGTGCTGTATTGTTTCTCTCTATTATCTGTCCAAATCCCTCCCACGAGAGCTGCTCAAAGAAAGCAGCCAAATTCCCTCCAACTCCCAGCAAATCCCCTCCAACTTCCAGCCACTGGAGTGACCCCTCTCTTGTATGTTTTTTTTTATCGGACTCCCCCCTTTCACTGAATTCCAGGAGATGAAGATTCTCTTTAGATCTTAATGTCCACAAACATGACAGAATATTTTAGTACAAAGATTGATCCACTTTTTTTCTGGATAGCCAAAATAGACCCATCGTGTTCTAAAACTGATCCTTTGCAGTAACCCTGTGTGTTGCTGAAGGGGTCAGGATGAAAGACAGATTCCTCAGGACTGTATAAAATCTTGTTAACCAGAATGCGTTAACCAGGAAACTGTCATGATCTTGGCACTGATGACTGGCTTAATTACTCATTCCGTTCACCTGTCTAACTCTGCCTAGTTTCTCATCACTGCTCATCTGATCCACCTGCTCCTGCCTCTATTTAAGGTGCTTGCATCCAGACATCAGAGCCAGATTATCTTGTTCTCTCTAGCCAGTTTTGTTTTTAGCGTACGTTAGTGTTTCTGATTTCCTGATCCTGTTTTGCCTCTCAACCTCTGAGCCTTCCTGTTCCTGACCTGTTTGCCTGTCCTGTTTTTGGACTCCTGCTCGTTTTCCAGGGCTGCAGCATCTTGGACACTCTGGGCGGCACCCGCCGCATCTTGTTGGCAGCCCACCGGCTGGATCCTACCTCGTTCTATGGGCATGGACTGTACTAGCAAACCAGATTTACCTGTGACAGACGACCTAGCCGCTGCTTCAGCCGATCCGCAGCCCGTAGTTCTAATAAACGCCTTTTGAATAATTCCGCTTTCTGTCTTGCATAAAAGCTTGGTCCCTCTGTTCTGAGACGTGAAACAGGTTTATAACTATTCAAAAATCTAAGAAAAACACAGCTGTTCTAAACACAGAGAAAAATGGCGGTGGCAGCACCATGATACTGTTTTCTTTTTGGTTTTTTTTGTACAAATACAGTTTATATGAAGGTTGTTGAAATTATATATAAAATATACTAGATGCATGAGCACAAAGCTTTAGTTTCTGACTTAAAAGCTGATGATAAAAAATAACCCCCACAAAAAATAATAATAATGATAATAATAATAAAAAAAGAAACTTTATATGTTGGCCACCAGGGGAGCTAGACGTTGAACTTCCAGGTTTAGGGTCATTCTATGCTAAGCACATAATCTACCATACGAGAAATCCACCAAATTTTCAAATGAATCCTTGCAAACGGACCAGGTTCTCATGAAGTCCTTGTCAAACAACATCTACACTCATATTTATACATATATGATGTCCAAATTTCTCATTTATGGCCCTGCATACACATTAAATGGGTCAAACATTTGTTTTTTATCTGTAATAACATAGAAAACATGTAATTACATGACTTGAAGAGACGCATTCCTGTTTCTTCTAGATCAATACAGGAAAAGTGAGGTGACACTTTATTGTATGTCTTATACTGTGCTGTTCTTTTTACATCTCTTCGCAAGTGATGAAGCAGACTGAGGACGTTAAATCGTTATCTCCCTTTTATCTCTTTTTTCTTTCATGTTTTCTAATTTTTCCTGCTTTTCCTTTCCTGTTCTACTTACATTACAGTGTTCATATAATCTGTAATACTCCCTGCATAATCATAATAAAGTTATTTACATGCATAAATAAAGCAGAACACTATGGCGATAGCTGTACTGCTCCACTTGTGAAAGTAAAATCTGTTGGGCTCTTTTTATTATCTAGACAAATATTCTTATTGCCACACTGCCAGACAGGACACTGAAAAAAATAAAAATAAAAAATGCAGAAAAAATGAATTATTTTGAAAAGCCCATGGATTCTGTTTGTCATCTTTAGCTGTCAGTGTTTTGATGTGAATACTTAATTAATGCATTTTTGTTGTCAGTTTATGGTTAATATGAAAACAATTAAATTGAATTAGTTAGGATGTTCCACCTCAAAGTATCTCTGCCGCCACCTTCTGGTTTAGAGGGGAGAGGCTTGTTCTGAAAGCAATGACTTATGTCCAGATAAGCACATTAAATCACCTGGGAGGGTTTGGACCTTTTGCAGAGGTCAGCCAGAACCAAATCATCCATATATGCTATATATCGAGCTATATATGTAAAGTTAAGCAATTATTTTGGGTCAAAAGTTACACCGTTTTGCTTTAATGAGAGGAAATCAGGGGAAATCCAGAAGTGACTTTGGGATTTAATCAACAGGCTTAAAATGTTTGTACACTTTATCTTAACCAAAAGGTTGGAAAAAGTGTCAAAGTGATTTATCATGGTCTGATTCTCTGAAGAGCAGTCTGCACCCTGTCAGAGCTCTGTTACCTCATCCCTGCAGCGGCGCAGCAGGGGCTCCCGAGCAGTGGAAGTGCACGTTCTGCCACCTGCTGTCCCGGCGGTGCCATACTCTGGTCTCCTCTGATTGGCTGGAGCGGGGACGGCCCTGGCTGTCCACAAACTGCGTCAGGCGGATGTAGGCGATGCAGGCCGCGTCCTCTCCGATCATGTGCACGTGCGGGTTGAGGATGGTGGTGTGGATGGGTTTGCTGTTTTTAGAAAGGACTGAGAGAAAGGAGAACTATGGAGTGAATTTTGCTCCATTATTTTTGCACAGATAGAACAGCTTTTGTCAATGGAAGTGAAAAAAAAAATTCAAAACAGAAATGAAACTTTGAAAACAGTTTTCAAAATGAATCTAAACAAGGTATGCAAACAACTTTGTGGTTTTCCCAGATTTTTCTATTTCAGTTCTTTTTTCACTTTTTTATTTATTGTTTATTTTCAGTTATTTTTCAAATTTTCTTTTTTCAAAAAATGTTTTTTTATTTCATTTCCAGATGAAAGTCCACCGCCAAAAATAAAGCGATACAATTTTTGTATTGAAATAAGGCGGTATCTTCCGTGTCATGCGCATCCTTGTGACGGTTTGCATATGGTGTCATTTTCTATTTCTTCAAACTGTAAAATCCTTGCAACAAACTAAATTATAATAAAATTAAAATTCCTTCTTTAAACCAAACTACGATGTTCCTCTTACATTTGGTAAATTTATGTTAGAATATATTGCAAACATATGTTGTGGTGAATCATAAGGTTTTGCATCTAAAAGCTAACGCTTCCATCTTACGTGCATTGTTGCCAGGTTGGGATGTTTCCCAATCTGGCCGTTTAGGATGGCTGTCTATGGGTAAAAAAAAATGTTTTTCTTTAGATTTATGGCCTAAGAGTCAGTGACATCTGGCAA